GCAGACATACTCACTCAGTCCCAAATTCTGGTGGTCCTTTCATGCGCCATTTGTAAACTACTACTATTTATTCTAAGATTTGATGGGAAGGAGCGAGTTTTCTTGTAAGAGCACTTTTCCATTCCTGCTCGGTAATACTAAAAAGGTACCCTTCCCTAGTAGTTTCTGGTTAGTCAGTGTTCTTTTTTCATCATTAATACACGGCAATACTTTCTAATTTTGCAAGCTGGTAGTATTTGGTAAAAGCTAAAAAAACGTAAAAATGAGAGCTTTATGTATTATCGAACCTTTAGTGTAGGAACGTCCTCTATTCATTTGCAGAGAGTTACATTTATAGGACAGTGCCTGCTTCTCAATGCACGTGATATCCTGCCACATCTCGCGCATTGCCCAATTGCCAATATTTTCGGTGAGTGAACCATAAGATACTCTTCCGCTGTGGGTTTTGTCACTAGAGTTTTCCTTGTAATAACTGACATACCAGATGATAGTATTCATGGTCTTGCTGTTGTTAGACAGTTGAGTCGAGTATGAGCGATGGAAAGAAGGTCGGTAGAGCGGTTTACTGAACGCTGTATCGGCAGCTGTGTAACCTGCAACCCTTTTGTGCTCTGCCATGCGGTTGACTGGTTCGTCTCCTTACACCAATCTCTGCTTTATTTATTCGCTGAACAGGCCCTAAATCTGCTCGGTTGACATAACTGAAGACTGTGTAAAGTACCAACGGAAAACTGTGAGGCCAGTTCAGAGGTAACATCGTAGTGCATTTTCGGCTCACGGAAAGTGTGTACGGTAGATAAAGAATGCGTCTAAGACACTACCACACACCTGTTGTGTCCCATCCTCGCATCGACTCCCCTTCCAGCCCCAGGGACACTGACAATGAAAGTCAAGGCCATTAGGATCGGTGACACAAGTTCCATTGTTCAGGCAAATCGTGGTTTCATTCGCGTCCAACTCTTTAAGTCTCTTTTGCTCAAATTCGCAAACGTTTGGAGGGATTTCGCAGCGTTTGCCTCTCCAATGCCCTTCGCACTCACATTCAAAACCCTCTGCATTTTCAGGCGAGGGCTTGCAAACCCCGTGCTCAGAACAGGTTTCATTGAGGCAAGGCTTGTAGCTGGCATAACACCTGATATCTAGGAAGAAAAAATGGACTTTTCATTCAGCTTAGCTGAGGTAGTCTCGAAAGCGAAAAAGTAAGATTTAACCCAAAAACTAGAATTTTCAAGGTAAAAGTGAACCTTTTTGACGGAAAGTAAACTTTGAAAAAAGTTAATGTGTTCCGCTTTTATTTGAGAGAATAAAGCTGAAAGGTGTAGCTGCTTAACAGAAAAATTGTAAACTAAATAAGATGCATATTATGTACTGGCTCGGTTGCTCAACTTGTTGTCAAAGGGCACTTCAACTTGCGTAATTTGGAGACAGCTCACAATTTAGAAAAGGTCCTTCAATATGTTTGAACAGTCTGTAATTTCTAAGCTAAGCAGCCTCATTTTCAATTTTTTCCCTCCTAAGATTTACGGATCCTAGCTTCTAATAGCTAACTTAGCACTTATAGAAACCATTGAAGAGTTTATTTTACGGAACGACTAGTAAGATCATGCTATTTTCAAATACAAGACTGCAGGAACAAGATCTTATTTAGTACCCAGACGGAATGAGGATGCCATGACATATTTATCCTCGCACAACCGCCCAGCGGGGTGCTTAAAAAATACACATTTAGAGTCAGTGGTTAGAGGGATGCACTTCTAGCCAATAAAATCAGGGCTTCGAGTGGTAGCTATTCCTGGGGTTGAGCATGGCTGACTGATGATGGCTATTAAGCGAGAAATGACCATACAAATCTCCCTTGTATTTGTCAATAATGTACTTCTGCCTATAATGTGCTAGCCGCTGAGCGGCTACTGACGGGGAACGAGAGTGAGCCCCAAGGCACAACAGGACGAGTGAGTTCCATACCGAACAGCAAGAACCCACCTAACACTACATATATATATATATGGCTAATAGAAGCGAAGATGCGCGTCCCCGGACATAAATGAGAAGATAAGGCG